AAACTCTAGTCTTCTTGAGGGTGTAATCTGGAGATGATGATCTTGATGGGGATTAGCCAAAAGCATGGAGCTATGCTCAGATTTTGTTGGGGGGTCAACTTGGAAATCAATCTTAGATACCAGTCCGTTAGTTTACCTGAGTTAAAACTTAGGTCATGTTTTCTAAAATAGAGTCTGAACTTAAAAGATTTGGCCTCTCATCAGATGAGTATATAGCTCATGTATAGAGTGCTTGCCTAGCATGCATCGGTGTGTTGGTACATGCCTGCTCTTGGGAAGTAGAGGAAGAAAGAAGAACTTGTATTTGCCTTGAATGGTTTCTGCATTGCTAGGAAACAAACACATGGCTTGTTGGACTCTAACATCCAAACCAGGGGATGCACTCCCACAGAGACACATGGACAGGACTCACTCCAACAATGAACAAAAGCTGGGTACAGTTCTTATACAGAGTTCACAAGGGGAAACCACAAAGTCTGACCTTTCCAGGTCTGGTCCCTAGGTGACTCAGATTTTGACAAGGAGTGTCTTCCATTTGTCCAGGTTTATTATGTTAAGGGTCCAGCTTCCTGATTCCTGGAATGTATTTACTTGCTCTGGGCCCTCCTCACCTGCAGGTGGGTTCCCTTTCCTGTGATCTGAGGAATGTTAATCAGCCTCTCCCTTCTTCCTCTGAATGTTAATCTAGCAAGTGTCCTCTGACTAAGGAATGTGCCCCTCTCGGGATGTGTCCTGGGATAGTGGGATTCTTTTAATCTTAAATTCAAACCGAGACCTGAATTTTAAGTTTAAACCAAGACCTGAATTCTAAGTTCAAACTGAGACCCAAAAGTCCTACAATACATGTTAAGGCAAGCATTCTGCATTGTAAGAGGTATCACCAGCATACAATATCCTTAACTTATCCAGCTGTCTCAAAAACATCTTTTCACTGTGGTCCATTTTTCTACATCTGCAAGAAAAGACAAGACAAATCCCACTGCCACTTTTTCATGTCTTGTTAGCTTTCTACCCTCTGCTCAGACTCATGAAGGATGTCTAATGAAGCTCTGGAACTTGGTCACCTTTCCATTATATATTTCTTGTCCAATTGTCATTTAGTGCTTGCCACATATGTGGCCTCTTAGCTTCAGTTAATGTTAGATTTACCTTAAAGATAAAAAGGATGATTCCTTTCTTTACTGTTCAGAGAGTTTTCTGTTTTCTTTTCTTTCTTTCTTCTCCTTTTTTTTTCGTTTTGCAATCTCTTTTATTTACTTGATTTTATTTTGTACTTATCCTCTTTACATCCTACTCATTGTCTTTCTGCCAGTCACCCCTCCAATAATCTTCCTCCCATTCCCTCCCGTTCTTTTTTGGAAAGGTGGCGGTTCCCTTGGGTATCCCCTGATCCTAGTACTACAAATCTGTGTGATTTTTTTGAATGATTCCTTGTGCCCTCTCCTCAGCCTTGAGCTGGCCAGAAAGACCTTGTTTACCACAATAGACCTAATAATAGGACCTAGGTGGAGTTACCTACCTTGGCTGAAAGTACTGAAGATCCCCCCCACTCAGGGGAGACCCTCACTCAAGTCTCGGGATGTCGCGACCACCCAATAACTCTCACCGAAAACTGTAGCAACAGTAGAGGTTTAATTGGGATATAAACATCTAGTTGCTGGTCAATTCATCTGCTCACACAGAAGCTGAATTGACCCCGACAGCCGGTTCGAGAAGGGTTTTTAAAGGGGAAAACCACAAACCAGGGTGGGGAGGGGGCAAGGGACTTGTTAAGGAGACATAGCAAAAATTCCCGAGAAACTCAACCTATGTGAGTCAGGGTCATGTGAAAAACACTCTGTATACCTATTCTTCTCAAAAATGTGGTCCTGCCCTGTCACTGGAGCCTTGCCCTATCATTGTGGTTACCAGCTTCCTGGTTCCACCTAGTTCACCTGCATTCTTTTCTTCTCTTTTTGTAGTTAGCCAGTTCCCGTAACTAGCCTGTCCACATTCTTAGCTTGCTCCACATTCTTAGCTTGCTTCAGAGAGAATTTTCCATGCCCTTTTAAAGAGAAACCTAAGGAAGAATCTATAGATCATTTTATAAAATGATCTTCATAATTTTTCACTCTACAGTACAACTTCCTACAGAAACTTAGAGGAATAGAATGCCTGCTGAGCTTGCCTTGAGACATAAGGTTACTGACACAAAGGATGGTTTCTCCAACCCATCTCTGGCTGAAACAAACAAACAAACAAACAAACAAACAAAAAAAATGGTTTTGGTGGGGCTTTCCAAGAAGAAGCTGAATATTAAAATTTGAGCCTTGATCAGAAAACTTTGTCTTGGCTTCATGCTTCTCTCGCCTCTCCATCTCTTTTTCATTTCCAGCCCTCCTTTCAGGCTAACCCAGTTCTTCAGTGGCCACAGGCAGCTACCCTTCCTTTTCCACTGAAGCCAAACACAGTACCAAGATTAAAGAACATATCCTAAAATCAGGCAATACCTTTTGGGAAATCCTCCACTATGGTTGTTCAGGACCAACATGAAAACCAAGCTTCACATCTGCTCCACGTGTGTGGGAAAGCCTAAATCTAGCCTCTGTAATAGTCAACCAATAACCTGCCCAACTTAAGACCTATCTCATGGTCAGTCACCAATACCTTACACTATTAATCATACTTTGTTATGTTTGTTGAAGGAGGCATGCTATTCTTTGAGAAGCTCCACCCAGCAGCTGACTCAGACAGATAGAGACACCAACAATCAAAGAGTGGGCGGAGCTTTGAAACTCTTTTGCAAGAATAGGAGGTAGTATTGTTGGTTCCAAAGCAGATAGGAGCTCTAGGGGAAGACAACCAAAATCTGACCCTTGTTAGAAGACAAGGGTCAACTAACCTGGACCCTTGTGACACTTAATCCCCAACAAAAGAGTCTTAATCACCAAATAAGGTAATTAAGGTATTCTTGTATGTCTAAGATCCATCTTAAATCATACATATAAACAAAGTCTATACCACAAGATGAATATGATCAAAATATATTGCATACACATAAAATGTTATACTAAAACATTGTTATGTATAAGTAATAAGAACTAGTAAAAAAAAAATAAAGCAATAAAACAAGGCTGATGAGATAGTTCAGCAGGCAAAAGCACTTATCATTAAGCCTGAGCAACCTCAACCTGAGATCAATTCCTGGGATTCACATGCTAAAAGTGAAGAAGTAGCTATTAAACATTGCCGAATATTCTATACATAAACAGTGACATGTACACACAGGTTCATATATACATAAATCAAAACAAGCGATTACAATTTAGAGAAATGTAACAGGTATGTTGAAAAGACATCAACTTTTCCATGTCTATTTCAGTATTATTCATAACAATCAAAAGGTTACATAAATTCTATTTATTTAATAAACCAATGAATAAATAAAATATGGTCTACCTTGAGAATAGATTGCTACTCAATACAAAATGAATTTAACCCTGCTGTCCATCGTGGCATGGATGATTCTGAGCCTGATTTATTTCTCTTGTCTGAATGGGCTTCAGAGTTATCCGTGTAGTCTCACTATGGAATGTCAACATATTGATCTCCTAAGTAAAACCTGGAATGATAGCAATGGCAGGATGTGTGGGCAGAGAAAGGAAGAGATTTATCAATCACTTCATATTTAGAGTTATAGAAAAGATTGAAAGTTCTGGTGAAAAGTGTAGAAATTTGAGTCTGGGAAGTTGGTTCGGTGGATAAAATGGTTGTTTTGTAAGCATGAGGACATGGGACTCAATCCCCCAAATTCATGTAAGGCCATTCCCAACAGTGACCATATGTAATCCGGGAGGTATTGTGATGATATGTGGTACAGAATCAGGAATTCTTAGAAGCTCCTGGGCCAATAGGGGAACAGTGAGGACCGACATTCAAGGCTATACTTGGATCCCAACAAACACAAGCATCTGAATTCATATCAGTACATACATAAACACACACACAGAGAAAGAGAGAGAGAGAGGGACAAAGAGAGAGAGTGAGACAGAGAGAGACAGAGCAATACATTCATGCACATTATCTGAAAACATATTCAAAGAATAAAGACAATAAGTAAATTTGGTATAAAAGTAAAGCGGCAGAATACAGAGGGTTGTGATGAAATGGTTTAAGTGTTTAAAGTGGAAAGAGGGATGGGAGAGAGTTGAAAGAGGCTCAACCAAAACTAAGTGTTATAAAATGTAACAAGGAGACTTTCAATAAATTAAATAACCAATAGAAACAAGAAAAAGTACATATATTTTGAAGCAGTTCTGCTTAAAAGAATATAGGTTTAAAGTAGCCTTAGTACCAAAGTTGGTAATTCAATGCATAAAATGAGCTTTCAATCAAACAGATGACACACTTTCATAATCAAATTCGGTGTGGAGGAATTTAACCAATGGATAGTTTATAAGATTTATCATTTATCTTTGGTTACACTTAGAAGGTACCACAGTGGACCTTCTCCAAATATCACATCTCTATAAGTTCACCTTTCCTCAACATCTATTATCAACATCTTATTAACCATCATTTTATAGTGAAAATTCTTTTACTTCTGAATCAGATAAGCTACTATTTTTTCTAAAACCCATTTCAAAATGAAGAATGTGGGTACAGTCACAGTGAAAGTAAAGAGGAAACGAGGGGTTACAGTCTTAAGAGTTTTTAACTCTTAAGGCTTGACAAAGGGTGAAGGTACTGTGCTCAAAATTTAGCTAACTAGAATGGAATGAAGTAAGAAGGCAGGGAATTATCTAAAATATTAATTATGCATAAAGGTACTTCAATTCACTACTAATTAGAATATGATAGATTCAAATTTTAAAAAAAGGTAAATTTAATAAAAATAACCACAGTAATAAACTGAGAACCTACAAAGTAACTAGTAAGAAAAAGGAGGTGTTGAGAAATAAGTCAGTGGTTAAGAGTATGTATTTCACTGACAGTGGATCAAGTTAAATTCCAGAACTCACATTAGGTGACTCAGCTGCCAACATCTTCAGCCACAGAGAATATTTTCTCTTTTATCCTGCTTCAGCAATGTTGACATGTATGCCACTTCATTCATATGTGTATGTAAGCACACACATATTCACAAGATTGAAACTATGAATTAAATTAAAAAGTAAATATTAGAAAATTACTTCAATTATGTGAAAGAGAAAAAACAATCTTAGGAACAAACAAGTGAATAAATTTGCAGAAAACACTTGTATGAAGAAATTCTAAAATTAAAATCCTATTGACTTGATAAGATTGGAAACAGGAGATGTAGTAGAATGGTGATAGCCTCCTAATGGTATAGGAGAAGCTAAGCCCCTTATTAACCATCATTTTATAGTGAAAATTCTTTTACTTCTGTATCAGATAAGCTACTATTTTTTTCTAAAACCCATTTCAAAATGAACAATGTGGGTACAGTCACAGTGAAAATAAAGAGGAAATGAGGGGTTACAGTCTTAAGAGTTTTTAACTCTACTGCAAAAAACAGAAGATATGGTACTTAGAAAATGAGAAGAAAATCAAGCCAACAGCATAGAAAATCTAGACATAAAACTGAATATTGTAGCATTTGTATAAAATGAAATATTTAACTACTTAATGACAAAGAAAAAGCAAGGAAAATATTTCTGAGTAACTGTTTTGAAAAATTCTTCCTCAGAAAAGAGATAATCAGTATCTTCCCCTTTAGTTCCACTTTCTGCTTCCTCTGTTGGTGGCCTGGATACTGCCAGTACACTGGATCAGAGACAGCAGGGCAAAGTTTGGTATTAGTGGATTCCATAGTCTGTCCCTCCCCTCTGGGGCATCAGACATCATTCTAAGCAAGACTGAGGAGGGTGAAGTGGAGTCTGAGAGGATAGGTTCCACAGGGCTCTGGTCTGACCAGAAAACTATGCAGTGTTATAGATTTTAGAACTGGAGTAAAGAGGTTCTGGTAGCTTGAGTGGCTCAAGTGACCAGGTCCTGGATCCCCACAGCAGCTGCAGAGGCTCTAGGCAGCATTCTGGTACAAGCCTCTATGAGTAACACGAAATGGGTAGGCAGACAAGTCCAAGAACAAACAATGTGTGCTTCTGGGAAAAGAGCCATCCCCCGAAGTGTTATAGCTCAGTAAAACTGCTAGTCTCAGAGACACTTGGTGAAATACCTTGTGTGTTTTATTACTTATGAACAGGGACTATATGAATCTTAGGGAGTGAGATGGGATGGGGGGGTGGGTAAATCCGTTGTATTGACTAAGGCTAACATGGTGGTGATGCTCTATTAGCATGAGAGAAGCAAGTTCTTCATTATGTGACTGACTGCCAGTGACTACCTGGTTGAAAATCATAGTTACATGTTCAAAAACAGACATGAAGGCAGAGAGAGAGAGCAGCTCTACTTCAGCTGTCACAAATCTCTGAGATTCCCAGGGATTAAACGTGCTCTATACCACCAGTCGCATGTCCACTCTTCTGGGGGCATGGACCACAGCCCTATACCTCCAGCCTCACAAACTCCCAAAATAAGCTCATTCTTGGAAACCAGTAAACTTTATGGTTTACTACAGGTGATGGTTATGAGAAAGTGCATGGGTGAATCCCAAAGCAGCCATGTTGGAACGTTTTCACTCTTCAACAACTACATAGATAGAGTGTCCTTCATTTAACCTCCCACAGCTTACTTGTATATAGTTGGCTGAAAAGAGAATCTGAATCTTAAATTATGGCCCAATGAAACTCTTCTCTTTGTCTTTTGTTTGGCGTGTGTGTGTGTGTGTATGTGTATGGATGTGTTTGTGAATGAGTATACATTTGCTTCTATATTTACACATTCATATATATATATATATATGTAAATGTTACACATGCTGAGTCTTCTTATTGGAAACCAGAAGATGTGAAAATTCCTGGAGTTGGAGTTATGTGCTTGGATTTGAACTCTAGTCCTAGGCATGAATATCAGTCTCTTAACCTCTGAGACTTCAGCTTGAACATCTTCTATGAAAATGTCACATGATGGTCTCCAGAAACCATGCAATCTGATAATGATGGCAGCCATTCTCAGAGGACCTTGTTCTATAACAGTAATAGACTGAAGAAGAAATAGAGTGACTAGAAAAAATTCTATCCCTGGTTATTGAACTATGTTCATCTCCTTTGCTTCCCCTAGTGTTTCATGTACTCATCAAAGTTTGACAAAAAATATTCAATATTTTAATTAAGATACTTTTATATATTCATCAGTGATGTCATAAAAATCAGTAATGTGTCTTGGGGTAGCTCAGCTATTAAGAAAAGTTGACTCTCTTGCAGAGTATCCTGGTTTAGTTCCCAGTACCTATATTTGACTGTTCACAACTTCTTGTAAGTCTAACTCATAGAAATCAAATGCCCATTTCTGCAGACATTGCTCTCATGTGTACATGATATATACATGTATATAATTAAAACTACATCAAAATGCTAAAAAGTAACCCCCTGTAATCATAGGATGCCACATCTCAGCATCATTATAGAAAGCAAGAAAGCATTTTAAGGCCATGCTTCTATAAACTCATTATTTCCATTTGCTTACTACCTCACCCTTAACAAATAACTCAGCCACAGTTTCTCTATCCTCTTTACAGAGATTCAGTCTTAAGGTGTTAAGTATACACTTGGAAAAACTGTAAAGAATCTGTCTTGATTTTCATATAAAATATTTTCCTTCATTTATGAAATACTGTGTATTGTACTCACTTAAGGTGAGATAATAACTCTTTAGAAAAATTTTACAGTCTAATATTTTTGTCAAGTCTCTTCCATAACACATTTCTCTCTATATAACACCCTTTTGCCATAAAAAATAATAAAAGTTTTAAAAAAAATAAAAACAAACTTGCTTTAGATATATTTGATGATTGTGTGTATAAGTGCATGTCCACACGTCATATTGCTCACCGAAAAGTTAGAGGACAAATTGGGGGGAGTTGTGTTTGTTTTTTTCTTCACCATATTGATTATGGAGATTGAAATCAACTTGGGCAGCTTTGGTACCAAAAGTTTTTACCTGTTACCACTTTGCTGGTTCCCTCTTCCCAAGGCTCTGGTCATTACAGAAGAGGGAGCAAAAAGAGTATAAAAGCCACAGTTGGTCAATATAAACAAACATTGTCTTATTGACACAGCAGGGAAGATACATGTATGAACTCTCAGCAATCATGGCAACAGGCATAAGACCTTTTAAGTCTAAGCCAGATCAAGTCTGAGAATGGAGAGGTGAGTTAAATATAGGGAACTCTTGGCAAATATTAACTACTTAAAGAGTGGGAGTCAGTTTTCTCTGATGAAGCCTCTGATAATTCAACCAAATTCCAGTAGAAGGTCATACAACCAAGACTGTTATACAGTAAGATAAAGAACACAAAACTGGATAGGTAAGAAATGTGGTGATTAAATCTTAGAAAAGTTAGAGTAGTGATCAAAACCCAACTTATCAAATTCTTAGTGAACTAATCCATTTTTGAATCAACCTAAAATAAGTTGGGGGGGGGATTTCTAGTCAATCTGACAGTGGTGAAGGATAATAGAACTTTTCTATCCTTGAATAGAAAAATCATCATTCTGGTTTATTTTCAACTAAACAACTGTTACTTCAGAGGTATAAATTGTTCTTTAGCCTCCAGGCATGCAGTGGAGAATATGTATATCCACATTTACATGTGAACATGAACACCCAGCCCCCAAACATACCACATGCACACACACACAGACATACACACACACAAATACACCCAGACACAGACATAGACACACACACACACACACATACACACACACACACACACACACACACACAAGTGTGAAAGCAAAGTATTTGATGACATCTGTGCTCATCCAAGATTTTTCCTACTATGAAAGTATATATATATATATTTTCCCCTTTGGCTCTGCTGTTTTGTTTTTCAGAGAAATTGCATGTTTTGGTATTCAGAGAATTGAATATTTTGGATCCTTTTATATTGTAAATATACATTTCTTATGACTTGATTCCTTCCACAGTTCATGAAACATCTATTCATATTTAGTGAACTATAATTTGCAAAATCTAATTAATGGAGATAATGACTACACGGTCTTGACAGAGATAAGGGTCTAGATCAGCGTGAGATTGTATTGCTGTGGACAGCAGGGAAAAGCTGAAACCTCATCAAAAGGAAGGATTAGATGTCCTGAATTTCATTCTCCACATGGGCCATAGGGAATTCAGGAGGACAATGTAGCCATCTCAGAAAATAAGGCAGAACCAGGAAACAGAGTCATTCCATAGTACCTTAGAAAAAGACATTCCAGCATATAGGTTCTGAAAATAGATCACTGACAAAGCTAGAATGACCAAGACAACAAAGCCAGTTCCAACCACCATGTAGTAGAGAGCTCCAGAGAATTTTGGAAATAACTTCTAAGGAGTCATACCAGAGTTACGTAGAAGGAATGCATAGTAGCAGAAACGTAAAGGCTAGGACTGTCTCAGAAGCCCAGAGAGAGTTTTTATAGTACCATATAATTCCCTGTGCCCCTCCTTTTCAAGTTTCTCCTGTGCTATATGGTTATGATACTTATTCAAAGCTCTTTTCTAATAAGATATATGAATGATAAAAGATATTAGTACACTCCTAAAATCTCAATGTTTAGGTCCCTGCCGAGTGCCCAGTTGATTGATGTTGTTGTTTCTATCCATTTGTGTCTGTATGGTAAACTATGAGAAGAACCAACATTCTGTTCATTCCCTGAACTCCAGAACCTGTCACTGTTACTGGCCCAGACACACATCTTCCACAAGGAAAGTTTAAAAGACAAATTAAAAAATGTGAAGTAGAAATAAAAGAAATGTATTAAATATGGCCATGTTAGGAAAAAGAGACTCAGTGACAACCCCTATGTCTCTGGAACCTGAAGTAAGGCCAATGTTTAAATAAAGCTCCAAGAATATGCAAAAATAAGTAGTTGTAGTCAAGGTGTGATCCTACTCACTATTCACATGTCATTGTCGGAGTTTCAGTTCCCTCCTATAGGATGGTCTTACCAGTTATTAGTAATCTCCCTGTAGCAGACA